CGCGGGGCGTGAGAGCGGGAGTTGGAGTGTGGCCGGGGCGCCAGCGGCCGGGACCTGCGAGAAGGAGCGGGCCGAGCCTGCGTGCCCGGCCTGTGGCTGAGCGCAGTGAGCGGCGCCGAGGTGCCGCTGGCGCGGGCGCTGTGCCCTGAGCCAGCGAGACTGAAGGCCGCGAGCGAGCGTGGCAGGTGCGCGGAAGTGATCTTGGGGTGGCAGGCGTGTGCGCTGGAGTGGGCGTGGGCTGTGAGTGTGACTGCTGGTGGCGGGTCTCTGCGTCTCTGGCAGTGACAGGACAACCGCTGGGCCTTCCCGCTGCCATGCGCCCCCCCATTCCTGGTCACCCCACAGAGCTGTGCTCTGCGCCTGACAGCTGCGGGGCGGTGCAGTACCCCATTCCACAGATGAAGAGACGCAGCCAGACTTGGCGGCTGGCCTGCCCTGCGAAGCTCCAAAGTCCGCTGTCAGAGGCCACGCCGGGTCCCAAGGCCTCCCTGCCCCCAGCCCACCTCTCCAGGCTTCTTCAGAAGCCCCAAGGGGACGTGCTCCGGCCTGGGCTGCAGCCTGAGGGCCCTGGGCCCCGGCCCGGGTGCGAGGAGAGGGCCCACGGACAGGCTCAGCTCTGAGCCTAGCCCCCACACTCGGGCACCTGCCTCCTCCCTCTGCCTGTGGAGAAGCAGGGACCGGGCGAGCAGCCAAGCCATTTCCTGAGGGGCAGCCGCAGGGCCTGGGCTGGGGGTCCTGTGGGCGAGCAGCCTCCATGCAGCGCCCGGCTCCTCCCAACTCACCTTCACCGCGCAGTCCGCTGGGCGCTGAGGGGCTCCCTGGCCGCCACCCCGGTGTGCTCCTCATCCCACAGCCCCGCGTGGGGCCGCTCGGGACGTTCCCGGCAAACATCTTTGCGGCTGCTGTGCTGTCAGAGACCTTCATGAGGCCCTGGCCTCGTTGTCCAAGATCCCAGCTGGGATCCCACCTTGACCCCAGATACCCACAGCACATTCCAGCTGGGGCGCCTGGTCCAGATGCTCCCCTGGACACTCCCCCACCTTCTGCGGGAGGCCAGCTCGCAAGTGAGCACAGCATCTTATCTGGGCCTTGCAGGCCCTGAGGGGTGCCTCCTCCCACACTTTGGGGGGCCAGTTAAAGAGCTGGCATTTGAGTCTGGGAGCCACTGGGAGGCACAGTGGGGACTTGGCCGGACTGTTGGCATTCCTGTCCACCTCAAGTGCTCGGGCCCACACGGACGGCCACCGCAGGTGAAGCCCTGGGCTTTCCCCCACCTTGGCATGCCTGCTGTCCACCTGCCCTGCCTCCTGGGCTCCCGCCCCTGCTGTCCCAAGCTGGGGCCCACCGCAGGATGTCCTCCACTCCCTCCCACTTCCTTCTACTTCCCAAGGGGACCAGGAGGGCGGTGGACACTCAGGTCCTGGCAGGACAGTCTGAGGGCTTGGGGCATGCGAGCAAGTGGTGAGTAGCTTGGCCAAGCCTCCTGCGGGGAGCTGGCGTCGGGGAGGGCTGGGCCCGCCAGATCGGGCCTGACAGGTGCCACTGCTCTCCCTGACTGGGTAGAGTGGATGCCAGGGTCCCAGTGGAGAGTCAGGGTTGAGCAGCTGGGCAGGATGGAGGGAACAGGACTCCCCAGCTTTCCAGCTGCACGAGGCGGGGAGGGGACCCCCTGAGACTGGCACCCCATTTTCCTCTCCCCTCCTCTGCTTTCAGAGCTGAGGAGAGGCAGGTGGCGGGTTCCCTGGTGGGGCATCAGGTCAGGCCTGGGACGCGCCTCCCCTTGGCCCTGTAGCTGGTGGGTGCAGTGGTGTGTTTGTACGAGGGCACAGCTGAGGAGGCGCTGGGTGGGGCCCTGGCTTCAGCCATCTGCCTCCGCTTGCCGCCGGCGGGGCCACGCTGGTGCCGTGGCTGGGAGGGACCGAGGCCGTTCGTTCCCCGTAAGCCGCGGGCACAGTGCCGCCCACCTGGCAGACGGGCAGAGCCTCCAGCTTGCCGCACAGCCTGTGCCGTCCACTGCACCCTGCTCTCTGCCCAGCTCTGCTCTGCCACTGACTGGAGCTTCTGAGGGCTGAATCTGCCATGGGCCCTGGCAGCTGTGCCCGCTGGGGTGTGGCAGAAGCACCGAGGGCGGGCGGTGAGGGTTGCCCCAGCCGCCGCAGGCACGTGCCGACGCACCAGGCCCGACTCTGCCGCTGCGCGGCCAGACTGAGCCCCTGGGCCCGAGGAGGCTGGGGGGGCTGGCCTTGGGTGCGTGGACTCCAGCCAGACGGCCGCTTCAAATTTCAGCCCTTGGGAGACCCCAGCCTCCGATTCCCCTCTGAAATGGGGCAGCATCGGCTCCCCACTTTCATCAACTACCCCGGGAAAGCTCTTCCAGCGTGGCGCGAGGCCCTCCGTGGGAGGGACAGGCCAGCGTCGGGCCATCGACGGAGTCGGGAGTGGCCAGACTCCGTCCTGGGTGTCCCGGCCTGTTTCCGCTCTTAGCCAGCGAAGAACAGTTGCCCTGCCCTCGCCGAGGGTCGTGGGTGCTGGCAAAGTGGGTGCTGGCCCAGTCGCCGGCTCCTTCCCCTCACGCTGCTGGTGGCGGCCTCCTGGGAGCGTCCTTTACTCGCTTTCTCTCTCAGTGATGGTCCCTGTGGAGGGGCCTGCAGCAGAGGAAGGGGGACCAGGCTATGGAGGTCAGCTGAGGGGCCTGTTGGGAGACTGAAGCTTGAGCCGGCCCTGGAAGGGTGCACAGGGGCTTGATGGCCGGAGGAGGGACGGGAAGGCCCTGGCCAGGCTTGGGGCGGGAGTGGCAGGCGAGCGCAGGGACGGGGAGCCACAGTGGTTGCTGGGCGAGGGGGCGTCTGGTCTGGCAGCCGGGCCCCAGGCCTCAGGGAGAGAGGCGGGCTGAGAGCTGGCGAGTGGGCACGAAGAGGGCATCTGCCCTGCAGATGCTGGAGTGAGCTGGAGCTGGGCCCCAGCGTGGGGGGGACCCTGCCCCGCCCGCTCCCCAGGACCTTGGGCCAGCTACTGGCCTCCCGAGAAGCGGGGCTGCATGTCGCGTCTGTGCAGAGGGCTGTTAGGTACGACACGGGGCGCTCCCTACCGCCCTGGGCCCCCTTTCCTTGTCTGTGACCTGTGGTGGCTGTGCCCAGGGCCCATGCGGCAGGGAGGACTATCTCAGGCGCCCGCAGCCGCACTCGGAGCTGTGCCCACCCCCCACCCCCCCCACTCTCTCGGGGCCTGGCCTCGTGCACTTGAGGAAACTGAGGCCAGGAGGGGCAGAGACTCCTGAGGTCGTGGGCTGGGACCTTGAACTTGGGTCCCAGCCCCAGAGTCCAGGGCGGCCAAGCAGGCCCTAAAATGAGGCCGAGGGTGGGGGAGATGCCACCCAGGCCTGGTGCTAGTTACGTGGGCAGTGGGCCAGAGCCCCTCTGTGTGGCCCTGGTGGGGGCTGGGCTGCCTCCCACAGACCCATCTGTCCCCACCCCCTACCCCCCCACCCCACCCCCTGTGGCTGGACAGGCCTCCACGGAGAGGAGAGGCCCCATCTGAGCGAGGCCATTGTTCTGAGTCCAACAAAAGGCTGTAACCGCAGCTGCAGTCTGGCAGCTCGAGCTGCTGGGCCGGTTTGGGGGGCCGGGCTGGATCCTCACACCTCTGCCCTTCCTCGGCTTGGACATTTCGCCTCCCGGGAGCTGAGGGCCGGAGCTGAGGGCCGGTCAGGATGGTGTGGCGCCACCCCCACCGTGCTAGGCCTCTCTTGCCTGGGAGCCGCCCTCCCCCACACCTGCAGCTCCCCGCAGCCCAGCCCAGGCTGTAGGCAGGTGCGCAGTGGGGTTCTCAGGCAGTGGGGGCGGGGAGTGCGGAAGAAGGGGTCAGCTCAGTGAGCGAGGGCCTGGGTTCAGAGCCGCCTTGCCCAGTGAAGGCCTCAGGGCTCAGGGACACTGAGGGCAGAAAGGGAAGCAGACGGGAGCCGCGCTGCAGGCGGCCGGCGAGCTGACCGTGCCTCCGAGGGTGCGTGCCCCTGCTCCTCAGGGACCTTGCCCAGACCTGTCCTCTCCTGGGAGTGGGCACAGAAGACGGAGCATTGGGTCCCAGTGTGGCGCTGCGGCCTCTTGGGGCGGAGCCAGGTGGGCGCCGGCTGGGCTTGCGGGGCGGAGGTGGGGCGGGCCGTGAGGGTGGACGGCGGTCCGCGGCCCCGTGTCCGGGAGGAGCCGGAGCCCCCGCCCCCCGCCGGTGCTGACCGCTCGGCCTGTCCCTGCCGTTGCAGCTGGGCCAGGTGGCCCTTTCCCCGGTCTGGTTCCTGTACAGCCTGCTCATGAAGCTGTTTCAGCGCTCCGCCCCGGCCATCACCCTCGAGAGCCCGGACGTCAAGTACCCGCTGCGGCTCATCGACAGAGAGGTGTGCTGGGGCCGCTGGGGCTGGCGGCTCTGCAGGGCCGCCGAGGCAGGTCCTGCCCCCGCCCGCCGGCGGACGGCAGCGAGGGGCTCACCGCGGCGGGGATGTGAGCCAGTGGGCCGCGGGCCCTCCCCTGGCCTCAGCCTCCCGCGGGTGGCAGAGCAGTGGGGTCTCTCGGGGGGTGCCCGGGACCCCAGCCTCCCCTCGTGGGGCCCTGTGCTGCCAGCCCACCCCTGGGGCCTGGGGCCAGACACGGCTTGCGCGTGGGTGCAGACGCCTGCCGCCAGCCTGCAGTTGGCCTCGGCGTGCGGATTGAGGCCTCCCGGAGCTGCCCCCCCGCTGCCCCCTCCGGGCTTGCCTCGGGTGGGGTGTGGCAGCGACACGGGAGATGCAGAGAGCCCAGAGAGGCTCCCCACCCCGCGCCCAGCCCCACGCCCTCACCTCCCGCGTGAGGATCGCGGGCCCTCCACGGACCTTCGCGCCTGCTACGTCGTCTTCTGACTAAACGCAGCCGTCGTGTTTTGAATCTTTCCCTTTTTAAAATTTCCTCTTCGGTGGAAAGCGCAGAAATAGGTACACAGACAGGTGTGCACCACCCTGTTCCTGATTGTCAAAATGAAACCCTCGCTCCCTCTCATAAAAAACAACACCCTCCTCTGCGGCTCCGTTCCCGAAGTCACCACGATTTCATGTTTGAAGCCCGAGCGCCCCCCGGGGGGCCACCGAACGTGGCGCCCTCCCGGCTGGAGTGAGCCTTCTGGGGTGCCGCGCGCGTGCGCGTGACAAGTGGGGGTTCATGTGCGCACGTGCCATTTCTGAATAAACTGATTTTCTCGCCACGGGGTCCTCCAGCCTGACCACGTCTACCCCAAAGCTGCCCATGTGGGTCACGGGGCTGCCCCGGCCACCTGCCGGAACCTTTGAGCCAGAGGCCAGTGTCCTGGCACCTGCCGCCCCCCAACGTGGTGGCTTTGCGGGGACACAGGCCCACCTGCTTTTGGACGCTTCTGCTCTGCCGCTGTGCCGGGCTCACCCGCAGGGCGCCGCGCTCTGAGCGCCACTGCTGGGCCTGTCCGTGCCGTGGTGTCCGTGTCTTCCCTGCACTGCTGTTCCTCTCCTGCAAGTGGTCTGGCCCGTGGCTCTCTGACTTTGATCCTCAGGACAGTCGACAGCCCTGAATCTGCCCCAAGAGACCTCGGGCTCCCTTTGCCCAGGGAGCAAAGGTTCCCGGAGAGGCGCGGCAGCCGCCCGCTGGGTGAGGGCAGCTCCGCACCGCTCTGCTGGACCGGGCCTCCCGCCTTCAGCCTGCCCCACCCTTCAGCCGCGTTCAGCGCACCCCTCTGTCCCTTCGGAGAACGCTGTGGCCCCCGAGAACACCCCGTCCTGCGGTGGGCCTGCTGGCCGCCGGCCGCGTGCATGGCCAGTGCTTGGCGGCTGCCTGCCTCCTGCGCGGCCGAGCCTGGTTCCGTTCCACCTCTGGCCCGGACTCCCTGCCGGCCCTCCCTGCCTCGGAGCGCTGCTCCCTGTCTGCTTCCTCAGCCCAGCCTGCCCCACCCTGGGCTGGGCCCCGCCCCTGCTGGCTGGACGCCTGGCTTTGGGCTGCAGCCTGACCTGCCTGCAGGCGCGGCTTCTCAGGGCCTAGGGCGGGGCTCCCCGGCTCCTCAGGCCGGGCACCCGGCCGTGGTGTCCACTCCAGGATGCAGCTGGGCCAGATGCCGGGGGTGAGGTCCTCCCTCGCAGCCCTGGAGCCCTGGGGGCCATCTGATGGTCTCCCTTTGGGGCCCCAAGCTCCTCCCCGCTCTGACCACCTTGCTCTGTCCCTGGCTGGGTCACTGCCCTCGGGCCAGCGAGGACAGGGGCCTCTGGGGTGCCCTCCCCTCCTCCCCGGCACAGGCGTGGGCGTGTCCACGTCCATACGTGGATCCTTCCCACTTGCGGGGGCTGCCGGAGCGGCGGGGGTTCTGAGGCTGGGCAGCCCCCCGAAGCTCGGCCTCTTTGCAGACCATCAGCCACGACACCCGGCGGTTCCGCTTCGCCCTGCCCTCGCCCCAGCACGTCCTGGGCCTCCCCGTCGGTGAGTGGGCCCGACGGGGCTGGTGGGCACCTGGTGCTTCACCCCGATGCAGGGGAGCAAGGGAGCTTCAGGGAGGAGGCGACAGCCACATTGGGTGTCAGAATTGGGGTCGGGTGGCAGTGGGAGGCTGGGGCCTGACGGTCCCGAGGGGTCTGGCTTGACTGCCTGCTGGCAGGGCGGCGGGTTGGCAAGGCCCGGTGGGTCCCCAGGGCCGTCAGGGTCACTGCCCTGCCCTCCAGGCCAGCACATCTACCTCTCCGCCCGAGTGGACGGAAACCTTGTCATTCGGCCTTACACGCCCGTTTCCAGCGATGACGACAAGGGCTTTGTGGACCTGGTGGTCAAGGTGAGGCCTCGGCCAGCGCTGAGCCAGCGTCGGGGCTCAGCAGAGGGCGGCGGGCGGGGCTGCGGCCCAGTGTTTCCTGAGGGTGGGCGGCCTGCAGAGCAGGAGCGCCAGGCGGCCGGCCTGCCGGCGTGTGGCTCACGGTCCCACCGTCCAGGCTGAGTGCCTCGAGCGGGCCCAGGGCGGGGTGGGGCGGCTGGCAGAGCCGCTGGGGAGGCGGCAGGGAGGTGAGAGCTGGCAGCTAAGAAAGCAGCGGGCGGGGGAGGGGATGTGGCTCTGAGGTGCCAAGGCCCCGCGGTCAGAGCTGAAGCACTGCGGGGGGCGTCAGAAGGCCCTTGAGGTCCCAGTGGGTGTGGGGCCTGTCCGGAGCCACTCAGGCGGGGTCACCGGCACGGTGGGATTCCCCGTGGCCTCTCCGCCGGCGCTGGAGGAAAGAGGGTCCGGGCACAAGCCCCTCTCTGCCGCTCCCCCCACCCCAGGCCGCAGCCCTTTCCACCCCCCACCCACCGGCCGCCCAGCTCGGCCAGCCTTCGCACACCGTCCCCTCTCAGGGCTGGGCTGGCCGAGCTGCCCGCTGTCCCCCGTCTCATCCCTGGGCGGTAACGTCCTTTTCCAAGGCCGAAGTCCCACGGGGCGCGGGAGGAAGTCGTTTTTATGGTGGAACAAATGGAAAGGCTGAGCTCCGCCAGGTGTCGCCGCGTCCTGGCGCCGACAGCCCCCACTGCGCCGGCCACCAGCACTCTCCAGGTGGCCCTGGCCCTGAGCAGGGCTGGCCTTGCCCCAAGGGGCAGGAGGAGCGCAGGCCCCGCGGTGGGACTTGGCTGGGAAGCTTTGGTGGGCGGAGGCGCTCTGTGGGGGCCACCACGTGTCAGAGAGCAACCCCAGAACAGACCTCTCCCCGTGGCCCAGAGCGCCCCCGAAGCCCTGCAGGCTGGGGGCTGAGGATGGCGGTGTCCTGCAGGTCTACTTCAAAGACACCCACCCCAAGTTTCCCGCCGGAGGGAAGATGTCCCAGTACCTGGAGAGCATGAAGATCGGAGACACCATCGACTTCCGGGGCCCCAACGGGCTGCTGGTCTACCAGGGCAAAGGTGACTGCACCACGGCCCCGGGCAGGGCCCGCGTCTGGGCAGGTGACCCTCGCAGGACGTGCTCTCGCCCCGCTGGGGCCTCGGTTCCCCCTGCTGATCCAGCAGAAGAGGACCAGTGCCGGGCTGGCAGCTGGCCGCCTCTTGAGCCACGTCCAGGCCACGGCCCCGCCGTGTGCGGGTCACCACATCTGAAAAGAAATGAGCCGAGGGCTCGGCCGGGCGCCCCCACCGCTCCCCAGCCCTCTGTGCCCCTTCGGCACTCGGGGAGGTTCTGGGGCACCCGCTCCTGCCCCTCGCCTGCCCTGACCCTCTGCTTGCACCCTGGGCCCCAGCCGGTCCCCAGCCCGCTGACCCCCAGCACAGCACGGTGAGTGCCGGGCTCACCTCCTCTCTCCCCAGGGAAGTTCGCCATCCGTCCGGACAAGAAGTCCAGCCCCGTGGTCAGGACCGTGAAGTCCGTGGGCATGATCGCGGGTGGAACCGGTACGTGGGCCCTGGCACCCCGTCCCTGGGAGCCCGGTCCCGTCAGGCCTTGGGGCAGGCGAGGACAGGGAGCTGCCTGGGGGGGCCTGGCCCCTGGCCCTGCGCCTGCCTGCCCTGTGTGTGGCACAGCCGGCGTCACCGGCCTGTGGGGCCGCTTCTTGCAGGCATCACCCCGATGCTGCAGGTGATCCGCGCCATCATGAAGGACCCGCAGGACCCCACCGTGTGCCACCTGATCTTTGCCAACCAGGTCAGTGGGCCTCCCGGTGCCCGCCCGGGGTCCCCGCGGCCTGGGGAGTGGCTCTCACGCCGCTTGGGCTGGAGGCGGCAGCTGCGTCTTGAGCGGTCAGGGCGCGGGCCCCGTCCAGAGCACCCACGGCCCCCCTCGGGGGGACACGGCCCGGGTGGCAGGTGCGAGGCGGACGTGTCCTCCCGCCCCCCACCGGCCCCGGCCTGCTGCGTGGCTCGGCAGTCACTCGGCCGCCGAGGGCGCCTCGGTCAGTGATTCAGGACGGAATACGCGGATCTCGGAGGGCCAGGCCCAGGCCCGCTGCGCCGCCCGCATGCGATTCGGTCCGCCTGGCCCGGGGCCACCTGGCCCTGGCCTGCAGCGTCCCCCTGTGAGGAAACTGAGCCCAGACCCGGGGGGGTGCTCCTCCGAGGCTCCTGCCACCACCCCCAGCCCCCCGAGCTGCAGAAAGCTGCTCTGAGCTGGCTGAGGTGGCCTCGACCCGGCCCGATGAGTGGGAAGAGCCAGACACTCCCCCAGCTGCTGGGCGCGGGCCTCTCGGGGCAGCCGGGCGGTGGCCGCTGTGGCTCTGCACGGGGAGCCCCCAGAGGACCTGATGGCCTGGGTCACAGGAAGCGACGACGCCAGTCGCGTAGAGAGCAGCGTGTCTCCCCTCGGCGGTCCTGGTGGAGCCTGGTCTGAGGCGGGTGGGCCGCGCGCCCCGCAGGCCCTGGGAGCTTCGCCAGAGCTGAGAGGAGGGCGGCCCCCTCCCCCGCACGGCCACTGGCTCAGTCAGGCCACAGCCCCTTCCCCGGCGGGGACGCCAGTGCCCGCCCTGACCGGGGCCCCCTCCTTGTCTTCATCCGTGTGCGAGCCGGCTCCCACCCGACGTGGTGGAGACACAGGACCCCGGGAGCACACGTGGCCGTGACTGGGACCCCAGGTCGGAGATGGGCGCTGATGGGCCGGAGGCGATGGGCTGAGGACGGTCCCGGAGTCGGGGAGCCGTGGGCTCCACACCGGCCTCGGCCAGGGGGATCGCCTTGCACGACCCGAGGCGTCGAGGGCTCGGCCGGGCGAGCCGTGCAGCGCTGCACACAAACAGACCCGCAGGCAGGGCCTCACGGCCTGGGGACCCTGGCCTGCGGCCGCCGAGCCGTGACAGGCCGTGCGCTCCGTGAGGCGAGGGCGGGGCGGCAGCCTGGACGCTTGGCCGCGGGGTGAGCTGGAGGGCTGGCCTGGCCCTCTGCACCGGAGTCCACCCCGCGCCGGGAGCCTGGGGCGTGTTCTCGCCTGGGACAGGCCTGGCAGGAGGCCGCAGGGGCCGACCTGGTTCCCTGAGAGGCCGAGGAGCGCAGGCGCGGGGTGGGGCCTCCTGAGGCCGGCAGCCCCCGTGTCCCGTTTCAGGGGCTTTTTCTCCCCTTCTGTGTTTCAGCCCAAGCCTGGCCCTGACCTTGACCTTCGGGGGTGGGGGGTGGGGCCCTCAGCGCTCAGAGTGGGAGAGGGACGGCCACCCTGTCCTGGTTGGGCGCAGGTGTCCCCACCCCGGCCAGTGGCCCATTTCAGGGCAGGGAGCCGGGAGGAGTGCCCAGGGCCCTTGCGGGCAGGGCGGGGGTGGGGACCCAGCTGGCGGCCGCCGCCCTCTGCCTCCTGCCCACAGCGCCCCCTGGCGGCCTGGCCGCGTGTTGGGCACCCTGGGTGGTGAGGGGTGAGCGCTGCCCGGTGCTGAGCGCTGCCCGGTGCTGAGCGCTGCCCGGTGCTGAGCGGGGCGGGGCCCTCGCTCCCCAGCCAGGGCTCCGTGTGTGCGTGGCCAGTGCCCTGCTAGCCCCGGGCGAGGCCTGCGTCTGGCGGAGAGGCCAGGAGGTGGCCGGCGTCCTCTGGGTCTGGGAGGCTTCCTGGGAGGCGGCCGCGGAGGGGCGTCGCCCGGGGAGCTGTAGGCCTGCGAGGGAAGGCCGTGTGTGGGCGTGTGAGTTGGGGACCCTGGTCTCTGGATGTGCAGCCTGAGCGCTGGGGTGCGCGGGCCTGCGTGGGGGGGCTCTGGGCAGTGGGGCCCACTACCGGTGGGGCACCTCTCCTCCGCCTGCCACTGCCGGCCCCTCAGCCCTGCGCCCCTTTGCGCTCCGGTAGCCCCGGCAGATGCAGGGTTGGGGCGAGGAGCGGACGCTGGCCTGGGCTCGGCGGCCCCCGGGCGGGCGGTGTGAGCGCCGTGGGCTGCTGCCCCCTGACCGCCGCCCGCCCCGCAGACTGAGAAGGACATCCTGCTGCGGCCCGAGCTGGAGGAGCTGAGGAACGAGCACTCCGCGCGCTTCAAGCTCTGGTACACGGTGGACAGAGCCCCCGAAGGTGAGCGAGGGGCCCGCGCCGCCAGGCCTCCCGCGCTGAGGCCCCGGGGGTTCTCACCCCGTCTGCCCACCGGTGCAGCAAGGGCCCGCGGGGCATGGCGCCCGTGACTTGGCTGCAGGTCACCGAGGGTCACCTCACGCCCCTGCCCCCAGCCGCATCTGTCCCTGGGCCCCTTTGCGGCGCCTCCGGACGAAGAGGGCTGGGGTTCTGCCGTGTTGGGGCTCACTCAGGGCAGAGCTCCCGGCAGGCCGGCGCCTCAGTGCAGGCTGTGCCTAGGGCACTTTGCGCCCATTTCCTCCCCATCAGCAGCCCTGGGGGGCGGAGTTGCTGCGCCCAGCACCTGGGTCCTCTGGCCCGGCCCTGCCAGCAGCCTCCCGGGTTGATGTGGCCGGGTCGCGGTCCGGGGCTGAGGGCCAGGCCGGGGCCCCGGGCACCTGTGTTTGTTCCGAGGCCTCTGGCGGGCCGGGCTGTCCTGGGCCAGCCCTCCCGGTCGGCCCTGGGCCTGCGCACTCTCGAGCCCGCCCAGACCTGGTGCTGGGGCGGAGTGAGCTGCACACGGGTTATTAGCAAGCCACAGAGCACAGTAGCCAGCGGTCAGTGAGACCCAGAGCTGGGCAGGCGCTTGGTGGTGAGGGTCGGGGCTCAGGCCGGGGTGCTGCCTCGGTGAAGAAAACACTGAAGGGGTCCTGCCACGCCTCTGAAGAGGGGAAACGAAGGCGGGTTTGGCGGAAGGACACTTCTGCCCCTGCAGTCGGGAGCTTCCTGTGCCCCGGCCTTGCTGTGCTCAGCTCCTGGACGGCTTTTTGGGGCACATCTGTTGGGACTGCGCTGTCCGGCACTGGGGACACAGCTCTGGGGCCCGGACGTGCCTCCTTGGGCGCCAGGCTCTGCTGGGAGCCTCATTCAGTGGCTGTGGAGGGGCCGCAGAGGCTGCCGCCCTGACCGGCTTGGGGCTGGCCGCCGGCTGGGCACCCGGCTCCTGGTCCTCTGGGCCTCGCTCCTACAGATGGGATCAGGACCCCTCCCGGTCTGCCTCCGTGATTCTGGGGTCACGTGGGTGTGCGTGGAAACGAGAGGCTTCGCACACCGGGCAGGGCCCAGGGGCAGTTCGCCGCTGCCCAGAGGCCTCTGCGGGGCCGGAGGGCGTGGAGGACGTCGGCAGGCAGCGGCTCACTCACCGGTCTCCCCCACCGCAGCCTGGGACTACAGCGAGGGCTTCGTGAACGAGCAGATGATCCGGGACCACCTCCCCTCTCCCGAGGAGCAGCCGCTGGTGCTGATGTGCGGCCCGCCGCCCATGATCCAGTACGCCTGCCTGCCCAACCTGGACCGCGTGGGCCACCCCAAGGAGTGCTGCTTCACCTTCTGAGGGCCCGGCCGCGCCGCCCGCTCGCCCGTGCCTGCCCTTCGCCTGCACCACCGTCCCCACGCTCTCGTGGTCCTGGGCCCGCCAGGCCTGCGCAAGCCCTGGGTTGTGCCCCACTGGGCTGGCCCCCGCGGGGCATTTGGGGTTCTGTGTGGTGGGCCACGTCGCCCGCGCCTCTGGGCAGGCCCCTGCCTGGCCTGATCTTGTCCAGTTGCCTTGACCCAGCCCGGCCTCCCCTCCCCCACCCCCACACTACTGGGCCATGGCCGCCAGCACCGGACTCCACGCCCCTCCTGAGTGGACCACGGTCTGGAAATAACACGCACCAGCAGCCCAGAACTGCCACCAACGGGGGACCCCCCTGCTCCCCTTCTGCCACTCAGGGCCACAGCCCGCCGCAGCGCCTCCACTGTGCGCGGGAGCGTCCTCTGGACGGGCTGCTGGGGGCCTGTCCAGCCTCAGGCAGCCTGGCTCTCCCCCACTGCGGGGGGAGGGGGACAGTGAGGGGCCCCAGTCGGCGCACAGGCCCCAGGAAACCGCCGTGCTTCCCCGCACACCCAGGCATTCCGGCGGGCGCGCTGTGGGCGCCTGCCGGACAGGTGGTCCAGCCAGCGCCGCGGGCAGGGCGAAGCCCAGGTCTGTTTGTTCCTGCTCCAGACCCCCCCTGCGAGGGGGCTCGGGCAGGCGGGAGCCCCGCTAGCTGCTGCCGGCTGCCTGAGGGCGTGGTGGCAGCCTCCTGCATAGCGGCTTGTCCAGTCATTTATGCGCAGAAACAGCACTGGAGTAAACCTCGCTCATTTTGTCTCGGCTGCTGCTCCTTGGTCTGGGGGGCCGGGAGGAGGGGCTCCCCAAGGCGCGCCTTCATTTCCTTTTGTGTGTCCCGGGAGGGGAGGGCGGGAAAAGCCGCATGCAGCCAGCAGGCCGCGCGCCAGCGCCAGCGCCCCAGTGGGGCCGTTCCCGGCCTGCGGGCTTGCACCGTGACGGCGCCCTGCCTGGTTCCTCGAGTAGATGTGCTGGAACCGCGGCCTGCCTGGGCGGGGTGTGGGCCCGGGGCGCCTGCCCCGCCTCCCGCCGCCCAGCTGGGGGTGCTGCGGGCCTCTGTGGGCCGTGGCGGGGCTGTGCCTCCCGGCCCCCTGGCCCTGCGAGGGTGGGAGGCGTCCTGAGCCCCAAGTTCCCCGGAAAGCGGGCGGCCAGCCGGAGGCGGGACCTGGCCGGGGGGCTGGGAGGGTGCTGGGGCCCCAGCGCCCCCGGAGTGAGGGCGGGACCGGAACCGGGCCTGGCCGCAGCTGCGCTCTCCGGGTCGCGCCTGCCGCCGCCTCGGGGCCTGGCACCCAGCAGCCGGCCGGGTCGGCCTGTGCGCCCGCGGGCTGCCCAGGGCAACGGGCCGTCAGGGGCGCGACAGCCGGAAGTTTACAGACGCCCCTTGCAGGCGGCTGAGGGGCCGCCTCGGGGTGCCCCCCAGAGTCCCCACGGCGGGGCGTGTCCCAGCCAGCGTAGGGCCGCCTGCGCACCCGACGGCCCCGTACCCCCAGTGCCAGAGCCGGGGCCGGGAGGGGCCGGGCGCGGAGCACCCGGGCGTGCTGACCCCTGGGCAGCCAACGGGTCCCCACTGCGCTCTGGGCAGGGCCGCCCCGACAGCCAGTGTCCCCGGATTCCGGATTCTGGCAGGCGGCCGCCCGCCCCAGGCGGACGTGGAGGTCCCCTTCAGGAAGGGGGCGGGGCCCCGCTGCCGGACCCCAGCGCCCAGCGCCCGGCGCAGGCCCGCCGGCTGCGCGCTTCAGGCCAGGTCTCCGCAGCCAGATGCTAATGGGCGCCGAGCGGCACGGATCCCTGCAGGACGGCCGACGGCGCGAGACAGCCAGTTTCGGGGCTCCTGGAACCTCAGTACCGACGACCGCGAGGCCAGCGGAGGCGCCGTGGGGAAGGACGCTCGACCCCGCCCGTCTGTCCTTTCGTAGTAAGGGGTCGGGCAGATCGCAGCTCCCAGGCATCCCGCAAAGTAGGCGGGTCACCTTAGGGGCAACCTTTACCCGCTCAAAAATTCGTCTCACATTAGCAGTGAGGATCCGGGCGTCACCCCGAATCGTTATTTTCCTTACTCATAAGTTTAAGGCATAAAGCAGGCAATCCGCAACTCCCTTGGTAATAAATCCCATTCTCATTAACCATACGGTGAGTAGCGGAGCGCCCCACTAAATAAACAGACCTCCTTCTTTGACCTTGGTATTAGCCCTCCATTAATTTTTTATGTCTATTTTTGTTTCACTTATTCGTTTAAAGAGAAAAAGGGACAGGCAGGGCGCCGATCCGCCGTATGCAGATAAGCAGGCGGCCTCGCGAAGGCTCACGGGGAGCGCCCCTGCCCTTTCCGGCCCTCGCCTGTCCGAGTTGTCGCGAGAGTTCGTCAGCCGTACGCCGGAAGTAGCTCGTCTCTCGGTAGCGGCCGAAGGGGCGGACTCGAGGGCTGAGCGAGTCTCAGCGGCTGGCGGCTCGCTCGGCGGCGCAAGATGGCGGACATCTCCCTGGACGAGCTCATCCGGAAGCGCGGGGCCGCGGCGAAGGGGCGGTGAGCGGCCCTTTCTCCTTTCGGGGTTCAGCGCCCGCGGCCTAGTGGGGCT